CATTTTGGCGAAGGACAAGTGAAATTTTGGAATTAGTTTCAGAATCAAGAAATGGTAATGTACCCTTACGTGACCTTATGTAACCATGTGCACCGTTGTTTTTAAACCAAGTTCTTTTATATTCACCTGACGAAGTGAATAAAACCCAAGTTTTATAATTTCAAGGGCTACATTCCCCCTTTTATTTTTTTTTTTTTTTTTTCATTTGCTGATGTTGGATTTTCCTTGCTTTTCAGGTGGCACTGATGATGGCCTGAGGCCGAAAGCGCTCTGCACTGATTTTTCTTAATAAAATTTGCACGATATACAAAACCTTCCTTTGCTTAATTAAAAATAGAGGCAAGTGTTTGTCCCAATCTCGCTGGTTCTTTGCGACCATTTTTATCAGGTGTTCCTCTATGGTCTTATAAAATCGTTCTACCATGCCATCAGACTGTGGATGTAAAGGTGTTGTCCTTGTCTTACGAATTCCCACGATCTCACAAATTTTCTTAAAAATGGCAGATTCGAAGTTTCGTTCCTGATCTAAATACAACTCTAGTGTTACACCATGACGACTGGAAACTTCGTCCACTAGCACCTAGGCAATAGTGATGGCATCTTGATTGGGAATAGCGAAAACTTCTGGCCATTTACTGAAGTAATCCATGATAACTGAGATGTATTTGTTACCACGCTCTGACTCAGAGAACGGTCCGGCTACATCTATCGCTATTCTTTCAAATGGGAGACCGACGTTTTACTGTTTCATGGGCCCCGAGATCTTAGTTTAGGGCCTTTACTGGGAGCACAGATGTCGCATTTTCGGCGCCAGTTTTTAACGTCTTCATGATAGTGGACCCAGTAAAAACGTTCTCAAATTTTGTCCAAAGTCTTGTTAACTCCAAAATGTGCCCCTGAAGTTCCGTTATGTATTTCTTTTAATACATCTTCTACTTGATCTTTTGGAATAACCAGTTGGCTCTTAGTAGATTTTGCATCGGCACTTTTCCAAATTCTTTCCAGTTAACCATTTTCTACGGCCAGAGAGTTCCACTGAGCCCAAAACTCCTTGTGAATCAAACTCTTGTTCGACACTTCCCTCCATTCTGCTCTACATTCATCATTTTCCTTAAGATGTAGCATTTGTCCGATGTCCTGGCCTGCTTCTTGATCTGCTCCCATTTGTTTGGGAGTCCATTTATCATCGACGATAAGACCCGTTCTTCTCACAGCCGGACCAGTGTTTTTCTTATGCATATCGATTCTCTGACAATGCTTGCAGTCTGCTTTGCATGACCGTCTAGACAGAGCATCAGCATTTTTATGCAGGTTTCCAAGTCGAAGTTTAATTTGGAAATCGTATTACTGAAATTTCTCAATCCATCTAGCAAGCTGTTCTTCAGGAGTTTTCATTTCTAATAGCCATCTTAGAGCCGCGTGATCTAATCGAATTAGAAACTTACGGCCGTAGAGATACCTATGGAAATGGTCGACTGCTTTGCTTTTACTATGGCAAGTAACTCTCTTCTGGTGACATAATAATTTCACAACACTGGGCTCGTACATAATGCTCCTTTCAATTTTCTGAAAGCGGAATCGCATTCTTGGGTCCAATTCAATGTTGATTTTTTTTCCGTTAATCGATGAAGCGAAGCAGCTATATTGGCGAAACCTTCCACAAATCTCCGATAATAAGAACATAATCCCAGAAAACTCCTTAGTTTATGTTTGTCGCGTGGTTTTGGCCAAGCCAGCATCTTTCTTTCCTTCCATAGCTTGTATGCCATCTTCAGATACCACGTGACCTAGGTCACACTTATTTGGATTGAGTTTCAAGTTGGCATTCCGGAAGCGGTCAAAAACTTCTTTCAGACTATTGAGATGTTCTTGAAACGAATTTCCCATGATCATGACATCATCTAAATATACTAGGCAAGTTCTCCATGTAAGGCCTCGCAAAACAAGATGCATCAGTCGCTCAAACGTAGCTGGAGCTTCACACAATCCAGAAGGCATTACATTAAACTGGTTTAACGCGCTTCCGGTACTAAAGGCGGTTTTCTTTTTGTGTATTGCCACTCGCCAGTATCCACTCTTAAGATCCAAGGTGGAAGACCATTTGGAGCCCGATAGAGTTGTTATTGTATCGTCTATCCTCGGAAGACGGAAGCTGTCCTTCTTAGTGACATCATTTAGCTTACGGTAGTCTACACAAAATCTAAGGCTTCCATCTTTGCAACCAATACTACTGGCGTAGACCATGGACTATTTGACTCTTCAATAATTCCCCCTTGAAGCATTTTATCAATTTGGTTCTCCACTTCCTGTTGTTTAGCTACTGGCATACGTCGTAGTGGTTGTCTAATTGGGTGTGCCAATCCGGTATCAATTTTGTGTTGAAATAAACTGGTCCGTCCGGTTTGATTATTCATCACAAATACGTCTGCTTCTTTCATAATGAAATATGTGGCTTCCTGAAGTCTATCTGGATCGAGGTGTTTCTATGATTTCCCCAAAGTCTGCATCAAGGTGTCTGTATCCAATTTCGATTTTTCAAAATGTCGCTTATCTGGTAGGTCACAAATTGATATTGAGTTCCAATAATATCTCCTTCTTTTATTTTTACTCAGAAGAAACATTGGCAATTCTTATCATAATGTCTCCATTTGTTCTTACTAGAGTTTTTCCAACGAGAAATCTTTCTGGTTTATCCCCAATAAAATATGTGTTAGTCCAACGCAGCACCCAGGGTTTGTTTGCAATTTTCCGCAAATGATCTTCTCAGTACTTCCAGGAATCCTCACTGGGTTTGTGGCCAAGATCTTAACGGCTTGGGATTCTTCTTGTGTAGTTCGGACAAATTCTTCATTACCAAATTTAAGAATGTTCATAGAAGGATCGAAAGAGAAACCATATTGGCAGATCAAATCCATTCTCAAAATAAAATCATCTTCTATATCGGCGACTAATGTTCTGTGCCTGAAGGTGGTAGATCCAAAAAAAAGCTCAACCATAGCTTCTTCTTGAACTGGTGCCGATTCGCCCGTGACTGTTCGTAGTGACAGGTTTCAAGTGAGCGGTTGGATTGCCTGGATTCTAATTATATAAACTTCAGCACCCGTATCAAAAGTGATGGTTTCGAATTTACCATTAAGTTGTCCTTCGAATTTCAATCCTCTATAATGACTGCCCAATAATTTTATCTAAACAACCCTGGGTGCTTCGTCATAACTAGCCAGCATCCGCCCCTCCGTACTAGTTGCTTTCTGTCTGTTATTAGCGCTGGAGTCTTTAGATCTCGAAAAGCGTTGGAAATGATCCCTATATGCAGAGGACATTCTTACTCTACAATCTCGTAACATTCTAATCGGTTTCTCGGTGTTGGTATTTGTCTGGAGTCGTTTTTCTGCCTTCTAGTAATAGTTTCTCCATTTTCTCCATGAAATTACTCAACATTCTCAAAGCTACCATCCTCTTTTAACGATTGTTTATCCTTTGGGTCTTCAATGGACACTGCTCGTGAAGCACCAAAGATTGCTTCCAGTTCCAATGCTCGGACAAGGGCTTCGCTAATTTGTCTGAACTTAGACATTCTCAGGTTTTTCTGGATCTTGGAATCACTGGGACTATCAATGAACGCAGATACTGCCATCCATTCCTGCATGTCTTCCCCAGCTGCAGGAAACGGCAAAGTCACTAGCCTTTTAACTTCCGATTCGAATTCTTGTAAACTCTCGCCGAGTTTTTGAATTTTTGATTCAACTATACTTCTTGCCTGTAATGGTCTCCGAAGCGCAATTTTTACGTCTGACTTAGATGCTGGTAATTCTGTTGGTAGATTGAAAGAATGGACTGAAGAAGGTCTAAGGCAGTTCCTCGTAGCGCCACTATCAGTGCTTTGACCTCGGCTTTTACCCCCTGAACGTCGTTTTTAACTTCTCGAACATCGTCTTTGACTTCTTGAACATCGTCTTTAACTTCTTGAACATCGTTTTTAACTTCTTGAACATCGTCCTCAACTTCGGCTTTTACTTCTTTAATCTTTTGTCCTAGGTAAGCCTTGTTGCCTTTCTTGTTGCCGTTTGACCTCTTCTTGTTGTCACCTAGCCCCTTCTGCTTATTTTTCTTCTTGTCGCCTGGCCTCTTTGTCTTATTTTTCTTGTTGTCGTTTGGTCTCTAGAAGTTCCAACATTTTGCGCAGAAGTTCTTCAACTTTTTGTTCTTCCATTTCTGCTTGTTGTCTCGTGATAGGCATATACAGAATATTCTAGAATTTCCCTCAACTTGCTTCAAATATCTTTCCTCGTCTTGGCTTGAAGTTCCAAACACGCCGGTGAAGTCACAAATTCAATATCTCCAAATAGAATGTTCTAGAATTTTCCAGAAATTCTTCTTCTGAATGACGATCGATGTATCGAATACGTTGGCGATATCAGAAATTCGATATCTTCCTTGGTTTCCAAATAGAATTTTCTAGGACTTACTTGAAAATTCACTATCACAGTCAAAATCGGGTATACAGTCACTTCCGGTATAATAAACACGATGGGTTAAGTCTCTTTGGGTGACTGTCACTGCTTACACTAACTAACTGTCCCAGTGTTCACTATCGTGTTCACACTAGTTAGGGTCGTGGACTATTCTGCAATCGGATTTCACTGAGTCCTCGAATGATGTCTCACTTCTGACACCAATGTGACAGCTCTCTTGACAGGAATCTTCGTTCCGTTCTACCGGCCTTTATATATCCGCAAATCTATCCGCAGACTTTTTCTGGAATTTCGGCATGTATTCTGGATACCGTGGCGAAAGAAATTATTTTATCGTCCAAACCCTAAAAAATAGTTTACAACATACCAAAATTTCATGAAATTTGGCCGGACATCAAAATCTCATAAGATGTGTGCGAGGTCCTTTAAAAAAAAATTAAATGGGGATTGATACATGACCTGTAGAATTGCTACATGCGTTTGCATCAGTGATTATTATTATCATTATTATAGATTCCAGAAAACGATATGGACGGAAAGCCCCAACAAGGTTCCTCTGCCCAACTTCCATCGTGGCAGAAAAACAATCTGAGCTTTCTACAAAATGTTCCTTGTTTTAGGGTAATAATTATGTGGAAGATTTTTTGAAAAATTATGTTTTAAAATAATTCCAGTTACCTCCAGAAACAAGAAAATGCCGAGCATGCGTAGATATACGTGATCCCGAATGTGAAGATGCGGAAAACGTTTGTTGTCGCTTTATTGAGTTTAGAAAACTGAAGTACACAACAATTGGAAAAGTAATTGTTTTTGGTTTTAGCTCTGCTGCAACAGATGCTACGGTAAAAAATTATAATTAATTTCAAGGAAATATTCATTAAGTATTAATATATTTTGATTTTTCAGGACGCCGATGATAGATTATGGTTACCAGATGTTGAAAATCCACCTTCTGATTTGGACTTAGAAACTTCCTTGTTTTTATTGGAGCAAGTTGGCGATCATTTTTGTAGTCTCTTAGAAGAAGAAAAACAGGCACATAAGGTGAACAAGTCTGTTTGTAAGTCACATCTCTCTTTTTTTAACTCGTAAAATACATATTCTAAATATGTTTTTTCTCCCTTTCAGATAAAACAGTATTCTGGAAAAGGTTTGTTCACGGTGTGAGGGAAATGTGTGACGTTTGTTCAACAACCATATTCAATTTTCATTGGTCATGTAGCAGATGTGGCTTTGTTGTGTGTTTGGATTGCTATAAGGTAACTAGATCATAAATTTGTATTTTTTATTATTTTTCAATTTATACGAAATCCTTAATATTCAAAAGTAGATCATTAAATCACCTTCCATTAAGAATTTGAGACTAGCTCTAGAAGCTCACAGAAGTGGCTTGTAGGAAGGATTTGAAAATTTTGTTTCTGGACGGACTTTTCTGAGGAATCACCTTCATAAAAAAAAAAATTCACAATACAGATTTCCATACAATATTTGTTCCATATGATAGCAGCTAAATACTCTTCGAATTTCATTCCTTAAATCCGAGTAGACACAGTGTTGTGGGTTAATTAGTTCGATTTTTTTTTCGCTAGAGGGAGCAGCGTCAATCAGCGCTATTAGGTTCTTGTAATTAATTTTGCGTATCAAAGACGAAGTTCTCAAGAGCATAATTTGCAATAATTTGTCCGTTTTAATTTTTATTATTATAAATCAAATTCTTGCAAAAATGAAAGTTAGACTAAGTTTAGGACTATGTTTTTGAACTAAAAATCAGTTCAAGTGTTCAAGAACTATCCAATGTTGATTCAATCGGTTCATACTCTGTGGTCGGGACGATTTTCGAACTATTAATTTTTGTTCTGATGCTGAGGTTGGATTTATTCAAAAATCACAAATTTCCTTATTTATTTTCCTTGTGTCTGTATTTTAAGTAGTTGTTAGTATTATTTAGAAAGGAAGTGCTCCGCACACTAAGGGCCGTGGCGCTATTTATTAGCAGTGAGTTATGGGAGTGACAGTTTATCACTTTGACTTTAAGATTTAGTAAATAGTAAATAAACAATTAAAAATAAAACAAAGTCCTAAATTATAGTTGTGAAAGGTAATATTGCAGTCGCTTGAAGATAAAATGGTGTATGACATTCGGCTCAGAAGCTCTAATGACATAAATAGAGAATTATGGCACTTTCCAAATAGTGATCGATTTTTTCACTGATCGGCCTGATTCAATTACTGACAGTCACTATTTCTTATGAATAAAAAGAATTAGGGCACAACATGTTAAATTGGCACTATTTTGACAATTTTTTCGCGTCAGTGTCGCATTGTTTACTCAATTGAACATAACCTATAACCTTATAAATTTCGAAATACGGAATTATAATGGAAGAAATCTTAGAAGCAGCCATTCTAGGGGGTGCAAATGTCGTTTTTCGGTTTTATCCATCCACAAAACACAAACAAAAAATATAAATCTATTATGTGAAGTTAGAATCCGAAAAATTTTTTGGCAACTGAATTTGACTTAGGTTTGCGCATGTCGCGAAAAATAGTAGAATACATACTGCCTTTTACAAAAAAGAGTGATCGTTATTTTATTACTGACCGTAACTATTTTTAGTCAAAAATGCGCATACGTAGGTGTCGATAATGCCAAAATAAGAACGTTTATATTAGTGATCGTCGCTATTTGGAGGTGCCATTATTCTCTAATAACTATTTCAAAACGTCCTTCTATGTAACGTACCTACTTATTATGGAAGCAATTTTTTTTTCAGGGTTGTAGAAGTGTCCCACAAAACCCCTCAATAAGCGCTCCAGAAGAAAGTGAATGGCTGCAGTGCGTACCTTGTGGCTTGCACAGGCGAGGGCAGCTTATGATGACGGAAATAATCCCTGAAAAAAATTTACATCTAATAGGAAAAAGGTTTCATGAGACACGGGATTTATGGACCATAGACAAATTTTGTGGTTGCCCTGACTCCGAAGAAGGTGGAATATACAATCCAGAAACCAGAGAAGCAGTGAAATGTGCACTGGCTAAAAGAAAGACTGCCCTACAATCCTCGAGCAGTGAAGAAGACTTCTGGAGTGACGAGGAAGATGATGCTCTTCATCTAAGAAGAACACTTCTCGGGCCAGTACCAGCCACATCCAAAAATAAACATCAAGGTCCAGTGTTGTTAAGGAATGAGCGGCCGAATAAAAAGCAGGGCCCAATCAGGATAATGACTCAAATGGTCAGTACGTTAGTAAACCCTGATATTCCGCATTCTTGGCTGTGTGTTGGGAAGCTTTTGAGGCTGACTGATCCAGTTTGTGAGGATAACCTCAAAATGTTCCAGGTAACAAGAAGACATTCTAATTATTTAATTTTATGTGTCGGATATACTGGGTGGCTGTTTCTACTAGGTCAACCATTAGATTCGCAGTTTTGCCTAATTGTTTATTGAACAAGGGAAATAATTTTTAGTCGGTTAAAGATACCGAAACTAATGTTTTTAAAAAAAAAAAAATTGTGAAAATTAATATCAAGGGAAAATTGAAAAAATTGAAGTTAGTGCAGGATTTGAACCCGCGACCATCGCAACGCTAGTACGAAGATCTACCAACTGAGCTAACCAACCCACCTGGTAGATTTTCGACAAATCTACGGCCGCTTGGTTCTCCTTCCGCATACCCAACCATTTCAATCCTCCAATGGCTCAGGAATGTGGCATCGGTCCTGCTCGGATAAGTTGCTTATATCACTATTATGCAGGTTTCGTCCACGGTGTATCAGAATTTCCAATGTACGTTGGCTGTAATGCATCGATTGCTTACACTCTTGTGCTGCAAAGTGTGAAATTCAATGCTTTATCTTTGACCGACCATCATTGACTTTATTTTTCCCAAATACGAATCCGGATTGTTTTCTTTTTTGGAGTTCGATGTTATTATGATTTTCTGGAAAAATATTGCATTTGAATAAGATAAATTCCCTAAATGTAAATTCATCTAAATACAGCATTTTCATATGGGTTTCTGAAAACAGCCTCCAAAAAAATCATTATAAAAAGAGTGAACCTCATAACCATCCTCCAAGATATTCGACAACTAGTCAGTGTTGGCAATATATTCTGTCGAGTTAACAGATTCCTTGAACATTCTAGTAAAATCTCGATTTTTAAACTTGTAAGTCTGCATTTCAGACTTCATTGGATAACCTCCTTCTGTTTCTTTAAGTGCCTTGTCCTCTACGAACATTGGCAATCATCAGAGCTATCTGTACTTTGTCGGCTGCTTTTCTGAATAGACTTTTCTTGGTTCCGTCATACCAGTGACGACAATTTTTTGGCCAAGACATTCTTCCAGGGCCTCTTCTGCCTTCGATTATGGGCTGGAGAGGTAGTTATTTGTCATTCCTGAGTATGTGTCCGAAGTACTCGAACTTTCGCTTTTTAGGCGTAAACATAACTTCAAGATCTTTTGATATTCCCGTTAGCACATCTTCATTGCGCACTCTGTCCGACCAAGATATTTACAACATCCGTCTATGTCCACATTTCAAAAGCCTCTACCTTTTTACACGTGGCGTCTGTCACAGTCCTCGCCTCAATCCCCTAATAGAGAAAACTGAAGACGTAGCAATGTAGTATTCGAGTGCGAACGGAGACCGAGAGACCTCGACTACCCAACACGGACTTCATTTTCACAAATGACGCTCTGGCTCATTTAATCTTGGCATGGACCTCCTGCATGTTATCCCATTCTTCATTAACCTGACATCCTAGGTATCTGTATGATTGGACCCGATCGATATGTTGGTTCTGTACCTGAAGAATACCTTCTCCAACCTGGTTCTTACTAATCACCATCCATTTAGTTTTTTTGGCGTTTAATTCTAATCCAAACTCTCCACTTTCAGTAGCCAAATGATCAAGTAATTCTTGAAGACCTTCCAGAGAATTAGCGATTAAAACCGTATGCGAACGATAACCGAAGATTGTTAATGTTCACGCCGTTGATAGAAATTCCCTCAGTGCAGTCTTCTAATGCTTTTTCAAATATTTTGTTCGAATGAATATTGAAAATTCATATTGAAAGGATGCAACCCTGCCGGACACCTCTTTTTATCCGTACTTTGTCACATTTGTTGGTTTACCTTGATTGTGCACTCTGATTCCAGTAGAGATTTGCGATTATCTTGAGGTCTCTATCATCTAAACCTAAAGTTTCTCATATTGTACCCTGTCGAACGCTTTCTCATAGTCTACGAAGCATGTGTATATAAGAACAGAACGATCTCTACATCGTTGAACTAGCACTTGGATGCTAAGCAGGGCCTCTCTGGTGCCAAAACCATTAGGTACCTACGGAATCCAAATTGGGATTTGCCCGTAAAGGACTTGCACTTTGCGTATATTCTTTTATGGATGATCTTTAGAAAAATCTTTCAGCCAGAGGGAATCGATAAACCATATTGAAAAGTGTCACTATTGCATGTAGTGACTCTTAATTTTTTAGGACTTTAATAAGTTCTGGGTAGACACTGTCTGGACCTGCAGCATTCCTGTTTTTGGATAGCTGAATGGCGTGATGGACTTCTTCCTTAGTTATATCTAGTCCTTCTCATGAATACTCTTCAGGAATTTCCGATCTCTCGTCCCAAAACAGGTTTTCGATGTAGCTGCACCACTGTTTTACTTTGTCGTTGACATCAAGAATAATCTTATCTTGTTCAACTGTCCAACAGAATGCCGGTCTATCGAGGCTTATATACACCATAGCAGCTTCTTTAACTTTGTCATGCATATTAAAACTGTCATGTTTGGCTTCGAGTTCCGCAATTTCCTTACACCGTTCGTTTAGCCAATTTTCTTTGGCTATCTTGACTTTGTTTTTCATTTCACGATTCAACTGGTGATATTGCTGGCTGGTCTTTTTGTAGGCGTTTGCTTTCTTTCAAGTCGAGAATTTCATCCCTAGTGTTACTCGATGACAGTCTCCATTTCTTGATTCTCTGCGCTGTTTATTACTTTTAGTTTATAATCCAATTCGTTTCTAACTTCGGCTAGAGTTGTTAAGTTTAGTATTGTCAGATCCAGTCTTGGCCTGTTCGTTTTAGCTGTACATCTTTTTAGTGTCAACTGGACGTTCGCTACAAGCGGATTGGGATCCGAATCTATATCTGCGCCAGGGTAAGTCTTTGCAGATTTGATGCAATTTCTGTAGCGTTTGTTTATCAGCACGAAATCAATTTGGTTTCTGTCAATTCTGTCCGGCGTATGAGCGTTAGAAGTCTAGGTCTAAAGACATCTTTGTGGAAGTTGAAAAAACAATCGGTCACCACGTTCGTGCGCAATGCCCAGTTCGTATTCACCAACTATGCCATCTTTCAATCCACTGCTAATCTTTGCATGACTGGAAGTCACCCATATTAATTGTAATTTCTGACTCCGTATAGTCAGATCTAAGGCGCTTTGTAGTTGTTGGATAACCAATTGTTTTAATTTTAAGTTTCCAAGACCAAGAGAAGAGCTTTTGAAAAATCTTTCAGGTTTCTCTTGTTCGAGTTAAACTCATAATTTTATAAGTTAAAACTATATCTTTTTTTTTTTCTGTTCAAGGAACAATGGGAACGAGGTCAACCTGTGATGGTATCTAATGTTTCCAAACTACTAAATGAAGACTTATGGAGCCCTAAATCTTTGGCTCGTGATTTTGGCAAGGAAAGGATCAACCTTATAAATTGCGAGTCTGGAAGAACGGTTCCTCATCAGCCAATGCGCAGATTTTGGGACGGTTTCGAGAACCCGTTTAAAAGATTGAAAGACTTTGATGGGGTGCCAATGCTACTGAAGGTTAAAGACTGGCCTCCGAGTGAGGACTTTGCGGAAACATTACCCACAAGATTTGAAGACTTAATGCAAGCACTGCCACTGCAAGATTATACCAAACGCAATGGAAAACTTAATTTAACTACTCGATTACCTGATTGTTTTGTGAGGCCAGATTTGGGACCTAAAATGTACAATGCCTATGGTAAACCATTACCTGTAAATAAAGCAACCACGAATTTACATTTGGACGTCAGCGATGCTGTCAATGTTATGGTTTACGTAGGAATATCACACGATGGCAATATTGATAAACATTATCAAGATACACTTGCAGCCATTGATGAAGCTGGATGTGATTTTTTAGCTAAGCGACGGGTGCTCGATAATGGTGAACTGCCCGGTGCTTTGTGGCACATTTATGAAGCCCGCGACGCCGATAAAATTAGAGACTTACTCAATAAAGTTACAATCGAACTGGGTGGAAGGTTAGAGCCGGACAACGATCCTATTCACGATCAAAGTGCATACTTAGATGGTTCTCTACGTTATAGACTTTATAAAGACTATGGAGTTCAAGGTTATGCGATTTTACAGTGCGAGGGGGATGCTGTTTTTATTCCAGCAGGAGCTCCCCATCAAGTGCGTAACTTAAACAACTGTATTAAAGTAGCTGAGGATTTTGTTAGTCCAGAAAACGTGGTCCACTGCTCTCACTTGACGCAACAATTTCGTGAACTCAGCAACAGCCATTCTAACCACGAGGATAAATTGCAAATTAAAAATATTATCTATCATACTGTTAAAGACGCTATGTGCGCTTTAGCGGCGTTCGGAAATAAAGAGTTAAAGCGTACCGTTAATGGCGTTCCATTACATGCTATTAACTTTTTGGATATGGATAAATAATTTGTATTTATTTGCTTGGTTTGGTTGAAAATGTTGCGTTGCATGGGATTGGCTGTTTTTAGTGGTAGGCGGAGCTTGTGAAGGGTAGCGCCAAAACGTATAAAAATAGCCGTTTTCTGGCCAGAGTAAGTCAATCATTCGTCGAGTTCGAAGCAGCAGCCAAGATCGTCGTAATATTCAAGCAGAGAGAAGCCAAACCGTCCAGAAGTAAGAAGTATTTCCACAATGCTAGGGACCTTTAAGAAATCGGCCCTAAGACTCTGAGCAGCAAGAAGCCAAAATCCAGTCAAGCTGGATCCCAGAAGTGAAAATTCAGAAGCTCCATCCAACAATCACCAAGTCGAAGAAAAAGTTCCACCAGCTACCACGCTTCGGCGTGGTACCTCATCAATGATACCTATCAAAAGTGCAGTGAAAAGTAAAAGTTTAGTGAAAGTAGTGAAAAAAGCCAAACCCAAAATGGCAAATACAGGGGGTAAGTCAGACGCAATTACTGATAAACATCTTCGTGCCCATGATAAAGCCAAATCCCTTATCGCTCTAAACCGATCTCTGAATTCCACAAACCAAACCCTTTCACAAGAAATTGAACATTTAAAAACCCAAGCCACCGAAAACGACAAAACCATAGCACAATTCATGGACAATGAACAACGCTTAACTGACGAAGCAGCGAACCTAAGAACAAAATTGGATACATTATCCAATCAATACATGAACCTGGAAGTTAACTACCACAATCTAGTACAACTAGTAAAAAACATGGAAAAAAAACTAGAGTTTGCACTGTCCGTAAACGACAAACAATCTAAAGAGCTTGAAGCACTTAGAAACTGAGCTGAGTCTCCTGAGCCCGGCCCCTCAACTTCACAATCTTCTTCAAGGAAAAGAAGGAAACAAAAAACCCCTTCAAACACCTCCTCAGAAGTAAATTCAGAGAATGAAAGCCGAAACAGAAACCCAAACTGAAGAAGCTCAAAATCCCATGGAAGACTTTCCCCAACTCAGAAACCCGGTCCACAGAATCCCACTGATTTCCCAACATCCAAACCTCTCAACATTAAATAACCCAATTACACAAAAATCTCCCAAACAAAACGAATCTCCAGAAAAACCCCGAATTCCCCCAATCATTATAAGGGATCCAAAATATTGGCTAAAAATCCACCAGCTATTAGCCGACAACAACGTTAACATAGAAGACCCAAAAAAACATCAACTCGGTATTCAAATACTGCCAAAAACCTCGGACGACCACAGATCCGCCACCAAACTATTGAAAGAAAAAAACGTGGAGTACCACACGTATTTCCTAAAAGAAGAAAAAAAACTAAACATTATAATAAAAGGTCTTGGCAAAAAATTCTCCCTAGAAGATGTAGAAAAAGAACTCATAGAACTAGGATTCAGCCCATCAGAAATCCAATGGCATAAATTCGGCCCAAACAGGAACAACGAAACAGAACTAATTAAACTCTCAATACCGCAAGACCAAACAGCAATATTCAAGATTACACACATTTGTATGAGGGCCTACTTTACAAACTCCACAAAAACCAGACGATTCCCCCTCATTTGTTCGACAGGAATGCTGTGACATGTACCCGGCATTCAAGGAGCGCGTATTAGGCTGACAACGTTCTGCTATGGGTTACCTTGCCTTAGGGATCGCTTTATGCGGCCGGTAGACGGGCCTCTCAGAGCGTTGTTGGTGCGAGCTACCTCATAGGTACGAAGATGAAAGAGAGAGCCACCGATGCGGCACATTCGTGCAGCTTTCCGTCTAGGACACCTAGACTCCTCCTCCGCGTTGGTCACTTAGATTTTCGACGATTTTCGCGGATTTTTATGAAAATTCACTTCTCTTCTGCAAGCTCCACGTCGAATTGAAACTCTAAATTCAAATAATCATTGTCTTCCTCCAAAGGCTCACCAAGTTGGGACAGAATTTGAAAAAAGACAGAAAGTCTAAATTATCCAAGCTTGACTTTTTCTTGAGGCTTTTTTAGGAAAAATCTCAATTTCAATTTAATTTAAAGCAAGATAACTTTCCGAGTTGGGACAGAGTTTTATAAAAAGACAAGAGTCGAAACTACCCCCAGCTTGAATTTTTCTTGAAATTTTTTACGGAAAAATCTCAATTTTAAAATGAAGACAAAGGCAAGACTGCCGCCGAGTTAGAACAGAGTTTTATAAGAAGATAAAAGTCGAAACTACCTCTAGCTTGAATTTTATGGAGGGTTTTTAGGAAAAACCTCTTTTTCACTACAGTACAAACGAAACTTTGACAAAAACACACGAACCTTCAAAGGTTAGACTGGTTTTCGGACCTGGTGCACCGTTTCTGTTCTCCCGTGTTTTTATTTGCTACTTAACTTCTCGAAGCCGCTCGACGGTTTCCTCAGAGTACCATCTGAGTTCAACGTACTGTCGTTGTAAACAAAAGTTTCTAGACACCGTGTTAATATAACTTTGGCCCCTCGGACTTCAAAAAACCGAGTTGGAGCCCTGCTCCCATATCACATAAAATACGTCAATTCTCACTTCCTTTTTTCTGGAGGCTGCTGGTTCGCAAGCTTATTCCCCAAAGAACCAGCGGGGTGGTTTTGGCGGGACCTCCTCTCAGTACAACTGAGAAGTTGTACATACACCGTGGGAAACAAAAAGGGTTGTTGTTTAACCCCAAAAACAACTGGCATCCCAAACCGACTTCAGACAATTGACAAAAATGACGGACAGATACAGTCCAGACCTCTACGGCGCCACTCTAGACGAGTTGGACCTGATTCTAAGTCAAGGCCCCATTCCTGCGGCCGTGTCGGAATCCGATTTTGACGAGCCTGAAGTCCCGCTCGCCGCAACAAGCCTAAATCCGCCCGACGCAGCGGAACTTGATTTTCTAGGCTCACTTTTTGCTGAACTCGAGGAGTTTAGAAAGCAAAAGAAAATTGAAGCTAAGAAAAGTATCTATCTCTAAAAAAAAATAAAACCATAAAAATGTTCAAGTTTAAGAATAAAGATACAAAGACATTATATAAAAACAGATGTTGCAAGTCAAGCAGCGGAAATTGAAAAACATATAGTTTTTTGGAAAAGAGCCCTCAAATAACTTTCTCGTGGAATATGAATGGACCGTGTCGGAACTAGCTTGTTTTAGGATAATAATTATGTAAAATTGAGTATTTAGATGTTTTTATTTAATGGGACGTCGATAATAAACTTTGTCTACCAGACACTTCAAATCGACCTGTCCAAATCAGAGGGTGGAGTTGATGTGTTTGGCAGCCAAACTTTGTTTTCACTGATGCAAGTTGGCGATCATTTTTTAATGTTTTAGAAGAGGAAAAACATGCACATAACGTAAACAAGTCTGTGGTGGTAAGTCACAATCTCCCTTTTTTTTACTTGTAAAATATATATCCTGAATATGTTTTTCTCACTTTCATATAAAACAGTGGAAAATATTTGTTTACAGTGAAAGGAAGATGTGTGATGTTTTTGTAACCACCTTATTCAATTATTACCTATTACTTATGCAGAATATGTGGCTTTATAGTAATCTAAACATACCACCATAAAGCCAGAGGTGTGTTGCATTGCTATGTAAGGTAACTAAATCATCAAACTGTATTATCCGGATTTTTGTGAAATTTTTGTTCAAATCGTTAGTAACCATATACAGGGTGTCCCAAAAAGATACCGACAAACTTTAAGGGGTAGTAGGGGACATCAAAACAAGCATTTTTGTTTATATAAACATATGCCCGCAAATGAGCCATTTGGGCTGTAGAGCAAAAAAACTGTTTGATACTTTTATTCTTCGCAATAATTAAATCACTGTTTACTTATTAATTTTGCTTTATTAGTAGTAAACAGTAATTTAATTATTGCGAAAAATAAAACTAGGTACCAAACAGTTTTTTTGATCTACAGCCCAAATGGCTCATTTGCGGACATATGTTTATATAAACAAAAATGCTTGTTTTGATGTTCCCTACTACCCCTCAAAGTTTGTCGGTATCTTTTTGGGACACCCTGTATATAATTATCGGTTTACAACGTTCTACGTCTTCCGATTCCCGATCTCCAACCATCTCTGTCAATCCAGGCATCCTCCTCTAAGCCTCTGTCATTTCTTCGTCTACTCCACTTCTCCAGCTTCTTCTTGGTCTGCCGCATCTTCTTCTTCCCCCTGGCTTCCATTAAATTATTTGCTTGGGTATTCTTGCATCTGCCATTCTTACATGAACCAAATCAGCTGTTTGTCCTTTACATCATCTATTATTGTGTGTTTTACGTCAATAATCTCCCTAATTCTTAGATTTGTTATCTTTTTCATTTTTGACCTGCCTGCCGCTCTCCTCCAAAAGTCCATTTCAGTTGCTTCCAGCATTTTTGCGCGGTTCTGTTTTTTAGAGGTCAGACTTCTGAACTATATGTGCCTATGCTTTTGACTATGGTGTTGTATATTCTAGTTTTGTTAGTTTTGTTGATATTCTGGTTCTACATTACAGCATTTGTAGGAATTTTGCCTTGCGTCCTTGTATATTCCGATATTTAATCGCTTCGTCTAGGGTTGCCTCATGTAACATTTTCATGCCCAAATATTTGTATTCAGTACATTATTTTATTTCTTGTCCGACATTCAATTTCAGAGGTCGTTGTCCATCTCCTATAGTCATATATTTTGTTTTAGTTAGATTTACTTCCAAACCCCATTTCTCATATTCCTCTATCAATTTTCGTGTCATGTACTCTAGGTCATCATAGTCCTGTGCAATTAATACTTGATCATCTGCAAAGCTTAAAGTACCTATCTAGATTGTATTCATTGAGCGGTATTCCCATGTGTCTGCATTTGTTTTTCCACCCCTTAAGCGCTAGTGATGTGCAGCATCCCTGTTTAAGTCCTTTAGTTGCTATAAAGCCTTTACTGATCACGTTTCCCT